TGTTAGGTTTATAAATTTAAAACACACACATAAAATTTTTGTTTATTGAGTTTCATGGAAAGCTACTCAAGGACAACCTGTACTAACCGTCTCTAATTCTAACGTAGCCAATAAACACCATCCGCGCTAACTCTTGGGCTACTCTAATCGAATATTGTGATTGACCATCGCATTATAACGCTCAAAGGCTTAAAGAACGAGCACGTTCGGCAACGAGATTCAATTCTACGACCCGTGGATTATGAGTTAAGCATCTTAATAACCAGGCCTACGTTAAATTAAAATTAAAATCATATATTTAAGCAAATGCTGGTTTTTTTTCTGTAAATGGGAATCAATCTATTCTTTAGAGAAGCATGTCTTTCAAAACAAGTTTGTCTGTTTTTTTTTCTCTTCTGACTTTATTCTCTTTCTTCAAATTTTTTCTCGAAAATATTACTTTTTCAGCATTCTCTAATACTAACCCCTACCACTGTATTTTCGGTTTTAATTTCCAATGTTATTTGGCACACTTTGTAGGTAAGGTCTAATGTTAAATAGTGATATATTACACATTGGTAAAATCTATGTTTAAATAGTGATATATTACACATTGGTAAAATCTATGTTTAAATAGTGATGTATTACACATTGATAAAACCTACGTTTAAATAATGATGTATTACACATTGATAAAACCTACGTTTAAATAATGATGTATTACACATTGATAAAATCTATGTTTAAATAATGATGTATTACACATTGATAAAATCTATGTTTAAATAATGATGTATTACACATTGATAAAATCTATGTTTAAATAATGATGTATTACACATTGATAAAATATGTTGTTGTTTTTCCTTCCTGAGTAGCTGAAACTAAAACCATTTATGGAAAAGTACTCAATACCTTAAAATTACAAATCTCAATGTTTTACAAGTCAGTAAAATGCATCATGCAAAAAATTGTTCGTGAAGAAAAACGTAAAGTTTTGACAGCAAGTGCATTGACCTGATCTTCAGTTTTATGTATATATGCACAGATTTTTTAAATTAATAAAACTATCTAAGTATGTTGTTCCACGCCGTATTCCTCATCATTCTATGTCATATTATCATGAGTATAGATAGTAGTAGTATTGGAACACTAATTCCACGCCGTATTCATCACTATTCTGTGTCATGTTATCATGAGTATAGATAGTGGTATTGGAACACTAGTTCCACGCCGTATTCCTCATCATTCTGTGTCATATTATCATGAGTATAAATATTAGTATTGGAACACCAGTTCCAGACAGTCTTTCCTCACCATTCTGTGTCATGTTATCATGAGTATAAATAGTAACAGTAGATGTCGGGCCCGGCATGGCCAGATGGTTAGGGCCCTCGACTCGGTATCTGAGGG